GGGGCAGGGGGCAGGGGGTGGCAGAGCGTATTGGAAGTGGGGTATGATATGGGAAGGGGTCAGGAGATTTGAGGGGCGAGGACAGGAAAAGGGCATCAGAGCTAGAGAAAGGGATCCGGGCAATGGGAGGGCTGGGGGAAGGCCAGTCTGAGCCAGGTAGGGGGAGAGGGTGGAGAGAAGGCTTGGAGGGCAGAGCAGATCAGAGGGCAGAGTGGAGGCTTGGAGGTGGGGAGAGGTTAGCAAGACCAGAGACGGGGTCTTCTGGGGGTGGGATAGCTGTGGGGGTGATCTGAGAGTCCCCCGAGAGCCAGCCCCATGGGGTTGGGAGGCCTCTGAGTGAAGGCAAAGGGAGGGTCCTGGTGGCCCAGGGTTACCCCGACACCTCCACCCCCCTCCACTTCCTCCCTGGCAGAGAAACTGTTTCCTGGCCAGCGCTATTTCTGCCCATCCGTTTCCAGAAGGCGGGGGCTCCAGTCACCCCCTCCTCACCTCCCTGAAGTGCCCTCCCAGTCCCCAGGGAGCCGGGGCTGAAATAGCCTCTGGCCAGGATGTAGAGGATGCACGGAAAGGGCTCTCCTGAGGTCCCCAGTGCTGAGGCAGCATGCCTTGGGGGGGGGGCGGCTAGGAGTGAGGATGGGGGTGAATGAAGGTGGGGATGGATGTGAGTTTGAAGATGAAATCTGCACATGAGTTGGGGCCAGGAACGTGGGTGGAGGTTGGGGATGGGGGGTTCGGACGGGGACTCTGGGTTGGGGTAGAAATGGGATTAAGATTGAAGGGGGATGGGCGCCTGGGTGGCTCAGTTAGTTAAGCGACTGCCTTCGGCTCAGGTCATGATCCTGGAGTCCCGGGATCGGGTCTCACATTGGGCTCCCTGCTCGGCAGGGAGTCTGCTTCTCCCTCTGACCCTCTCCCCTCTCGTGCTCTCTCTCTATCTCATTCTCTCTCTCAAATATAAATAAATAAAATCTTTAAAAAAAAAAAAAAAGAATGAAGGGGGAGGCTAGCTTGGGGTTGGGGTTGAAGATGGGTGCTGAGATGGGCCGGTGTTGGGGGTTGGGCAGGAGACTAAATTGGGGACCCAGTTGCAGCTGTAGGTGGGACAGCACTGGCCCCGTGGGTGGGTGGTTGTCCTGGCGCCGTTGGGCACAGTGATGGTTAAAGATGGTGTTTGGACAAAGGGATGCCTTGGGGATAAGCACATGGGTGTGTCCCAAGGTGGAGGTGGCTGATGGGGTTGGAATACGTATGGGGTGGAAAACAAAAAGACATTGAAGAAGACTCTGGGGCTTGGGGTAGTTTGGGGTTGAGAACGGTGTCTTGAGTTGAATTGCACCCCCCCACCAAGAAAAAAGAAGTGTGAAGTCCTAACCGCCGCCCCCCCCATGCCTCAGAATGGGGACCTTATCTGGAGAAGGGTTCTTTACAGAGGTAATCAAGTTAAAATGAGGTCATAAGGTGGGCTCCAATCCAGTATGACTGGTGTTCAGATACAAAGGGGAGATTTGGACACAGAGACAGACACACACAGAGGGAAGATGATGTGACGTCACGGAGGGAAGATGATGTGACGTCACAGTGAGAAGGCCGTGTGGAGACAAGGGAACAGGAGTGAGGTGGCCGCGAGCCAGGGAACTCCCAGGTTGGCTGGCAAAGCGTCAGGTGCAGGGAGAGGTGAGGAGGGATTCCTCTCTGAGTTTCTGAGGATGTGTGGCCCTGCTGACACCTTGATTTCAGACATCCAGCCTCCCGAACTGAGAGAATGGACTTCGATAGTTTAAGCCACCTGGTATGTGGGACTCGATGACTATGGGGGCCCCAGGAACCGGACACAGGCCGTGGGGGACATAGCTGGCAGATGCAGGTGGAAGGTAGGCACTGGGCATGGCAGTGAGTTTGAGATGAAGCTTGGATGTGAGTTGAGGTAGCGATGAAGTTAAAGGTGGAGGCTGGGGGTTTGGGGTTCAGGGTGGGATGGAAAAGGCGAAGAGATTGGGGGTGAAGGAGGAGGTTGAGGTGGGCATTGTGGTCTGGGGCCAGGGTTGGGGCTGGGGCTGGGAAGGGGGTGGGGTATGGAGGTTAGGGAGAGGCAGAAGGTCAAGGTTGGATGTGGAGACTTTGAAAGGAGATGGGTTGGAGGTTAAATTTGAAGGGAGGGCGGGAAGGAGGGTTGAAGTTGGGGGTAGGGAAGGGATTGGGAGGGGGTGGGACCAAAGCTGGTGATTCACTTATCACAGGACATGGGGGTGAGATTGAAGCCGGTGGTGGGTGGAGAGTGGGATGGATTGGGGGTAGGTGTGGAGACGGAGCTAGGGCCCGGGCTCGGTGATGGAGGTTAGGACTGCAGGGGGGCGGACCGGCGTCCCACATGGAGCTGGGCAGACAGAAGTTGGAGAAGTGAACACAGGTGGGATCACAGGTGGAGGTCAGGTGTGGGGAGGGGCTCCCGACTCACCTGACAGAGGCTCCTTCATCTTTGGGGGCTCGGGGACCTTGGGCGGCGGCTCAGGAGCCGCCTCGCCTGCGGGCACCACCCTCTCGGCCAGTGACGCCCGGTGGGGCTTGGGCCCGCGTCCCAGTCTCAGAAAGGCCAGTCTCCGGGCAGCCTCCCCAGCCGCCTCCTCGTCGCCCTGGGCTCGGGTCCCCTGAAGCCTGGCCAGGAGGCCAAAATCTGCTGAGCTCCTGCGAATCCCCGGTGTCAGCATGCGGCCCAGGAAAGAGCGAGGCTGCCCATCTGCTGGGCTGCCTGCCCGCCGGCCAGGGGTCCAGCCCAACCGGAAGGGGGCCAGGCCAGCCAGCTTCTCCAGGGTGGCCCGGCGGCGACAAGATGTTCCATTGGGCAGGGTCCCCAGCTCCCCAACCTCCTCTTCTTCCAATCCTGGAACTTCCTCAAAGGGGTTCCGAGAGGACCTCAGGGGCAGGGTCCCCGCCCTGGGCACCTTGGAGTCTGCCACCCCTAGATTCTTCAGGATGGGCATTTTGACAGGTGGGGACCTGGGGAAAACATAACGGACCATCAGTGGGATTGATGACAGTAGTGGTGTTGATGATTGACGACAATGCCTCTGCGTGCCAGTCCCCAGTCTGAGCACCCGCCAATCCCATGAGGTTAGTGCTATTATCATGCCCATTTTGCAGATGATGCCCAAGGTCCCACGGTGATTCAGGGGCGAAGCCAGCATTCAGACCCAGACCTGTTGATTCAGGGGCTGGGGTTCTTCCCCCCGCCCTCCCGCCCTGAGCATTGGCATTCAGACCCTTTCCCTGCCTTACTCCTGCCTGGAGGGTTCATCGTCTTTGTGGACCCTCCTACTCCATGAGGCAACAGGCTCAGAGAGGGGAAGGGCCCTTGCCAAGCTGGCACAGCCCATGAAGGGCAGAGCTGCAGAGGGACTCGGGCCCCACCATCTACCCAGACAGCCAGTCACACACATATGCACCCGCCTCGTCCCCTCTACACCACCCTGTGCATTCCTTGAGCAAAGCCTTCCTGGGAAATGTCCAGAACAGGCAAATCCATAGAGACAGAAAGGAGATGAGCGGTGGCCACGGACTGGGAGAGGGGGGCTGGGGAGTGACTGCTTAATGGGTCTGGGTTTCCTTTTGGGAAATGAAAATGTTCTGGAGGTACATAGAGGTGACAGTTGACAACGCTGTGAATGCACCAGATGCCACTGAATTGTACACTTTAAAGTGCTTCCTATGGTGAATTTTATGTTTTATATATTTTACTACCCTCCCCCTACCCCCCCCCCAAAAAAACCTCACTAGGTATTTGCCCGGTGAAGGCAGTGGGGACACACTGGTGGCCAAGACAGACCCAGTTCTTGCCCTCTTGGGGCTCAAAATCTCTGAAGTTCTGCCCATCCCACCTCCTAAGTCCCTCATCTCCTCCCTCTCCATGGCCCCCTGCCCCAGTCCAGGCCCCCTCTGGCTTCTCCACTTCCTCCCTCGTCTCCAGGCTCTTGTCTTGCCCCCGCCCCCCAGCCCACCTTTGAAGACCTCGTTAAAGCACAAACCGGCTCCCTCTCCTTCTCTTAACCTTGCATGGCTCCCCAGTGCCCTCAGCACAAAATTCAGCTGCCCTCATGGGCCAGCTATGCTCCTCACCAATGCTATCCCACATTCTCCTCCTCCTTGCTCCGGGCTCCTGGGTGCCAGCATTTGTGTTGATCCTTCTACAGGGAGACCTGTTCTCCCCGCTCCATTCATGCTTCAGGACTCAGCCCCAAAGCCCCCTCCTCCAGGAAGCCCTCCCTGATGCTCAGGCTAAGTCAAGTCGCCCGTCTCGGGATTTCCCCCATCCCAGCCCTGCCTACCCTGAGTTGTCACTGTCTGGGGATGAATCTGTGTCCCCCACTGGACTGTGAAGCCCCGAGAGGTCAGGGTCAGGCTGTCTCAGTCACTGCTGTGTCCCCAGCTCCCAGGGCAGGCGCTCAGGAAATGAATGGGTGCTAAACAGGAAACAAAGGAAGGAGGGAAGGACCTCATTCCTTGGGGGTGAGGAGGAGTCAAGCTGGAGAGGTCAGTAAAGAGCAGGACATGCAAGGCCTCAAAGGGCCATGAGGAGGGACTTGGGCTTTTTCCCCCGAGGACACTGGGGAGCCACGGAAGGGCGCTTTTTAAAATGATGAAGTAGTTCAAACATTCAGAAATTCAGAAAAAATTAGAAAACAAACACCCCCTGTTCCTCCAATCCTAGCAGCATCTAAGGCAAACATGCTCTCTATTTGGTTCAGGTTGGCTTTATTTATTTATTTATTTATTTATTTATTTATTTATTTATTTAAGAATCAAGCATCACAGATGCACCGAAGCCCCCCGACTCTCCTCCTGACCCTGCGTGCCCTAGCCCTCCCCCAAGGAGAGCAGATCCGGAATGTGTGTCTCCCCATCCAAGCCGACTTTTTAGTCTATGCCTCCGCAGACTTGCAGCCAGAAATAATGCATTGTTTCACGTGGTTTCAAGCTCTCCATAAATGCTATCATACTATGCGTATCCGGCAACTTGCTGTCCGATGGCTGTTTTTTGGCTCACATACAAGTGAGATGTAGCCATGCCTCGCTCTGTGACTCTAATTGATTTCTCTTAATTGTTGCGTACTATTCTACCGTAGGGCTGTGGCAAACCTGTATCGGCTGTCAGCCGTTCACACGTTCTCCTATTGCTGGCCATGTAGGTTGTTTTGAAATGGGACGGGTTCTGAGCAGGTGAGGGACAGGGTCGGGATTGGGCAGGCGTTGGGGGTCGGGGTGGGGGTGTTGCGTGGATCATCTGGAAGGATGCTCAAAGGGCCCTGAGTTGGCTGGGCTGTGAGCAAGAGCATCTCCTTTCGTGGTGGAGACCCCCTTCTTTCCTCCCTGACTTCAGCCTCTAGACCTCAGCTGTTGTCCCTCAAGCTTCTCTCCAGTCTCCATGGTCCGGTGTCCCCCAGGGAGGCAGTCACCATGCCAACCCTTGCCTGGAGCCCCCATGGCTGTGGGGAATCGATACTACCCCCCCATACACACACACACACACACACACACACAAGCCACACGCCAATTTCTTTCATTTTCCAAACAGGCTTCTCTGTGCTTCATACCCCAAATGGCTTCACCGTCCCCCGGAACTGCCTCCATCATCCCCCCAAAACCCCACCTCCCCCGCAAAACAGGGGGCTCCCACTTCCCTCTAACAGAAGTCAACATTACCCAAACTGGGCTTGCCACTCCCCCACTGGCTCCCACATCCATCCCCAAACTGGATCCCATACCCCCAAACCATTTCCAACATCCTCAGAGCCCACTACAACATCTTCTGAAAAGTGGCCCCCTCGCCTTTCCCCTTCCTGGCTCCAACACCCGCCTCTGCAAACTGGCTCCGACATCCTGCCCCCTCCAGCCCCCTCATCTGCCTCCCAGTGCCCGGCCCCTGACTCACTTCCGAGGCATCCCTCAAGCCCCCAGCCTCCCGACCTCCCACAGGATGTCTTGGCCACCAGCTTCCCTCTCTGGGCTCCGGCTCCTCCCCCTCCCCTCCCCCCTCCTCCTCCGTGCTGCCAGCCTTTTCCCCCAAAGCCCTAAACCCTCGGCGGGCAGCTTGACCCGTTTGCAGAAGTCCCCAAGTCTGTATCAGAGAACAGCCCTCACACACTGTGTCCACACTGGACCCCAACCACACAACCTCCACCCAGACCTTGCCCCAGAACAATGCTGTCACCAGCCCAGCCTGTTTCAAGCTCACGCACACCTTCCTTCTGAACCCCATCTCCTGCTCCTTCTCCATCCCAGCCCTGTCTTCTCTCCCATGTCCAAGCCCCCATCTCTTGGGGACGGGGCAAAGTACCCATCCCTCTCTGGCCGGTCTTCCCACCTGAACTCAGAGGGCATCAGACCCAGCCATGGCTCGGGTCTCGTCTCCCTTGATGGTCCAAACTCTCCCTGCTTCTTCGAAGCTTCTCTGGATCCCCAGGGCCCCCAAATTCTTCCCTGCACCCTCCTCCTGCTCCCAGTTCCTCCTACCCTCTCACTGGCACCCTCCTGAGGTCAGACCCCACATTCTCTCTTCGCCCCCTGCCTCTCCTGGCTCCAGGGCATGTGTTCTCACCACCTCTGGTCCAGCCCAGATCCAGGGGGGGCCCCGGGTTGGGGGCATGCGGGTCCTGCCCCCTCCTCCAGCACACTCACCTCGTAGTCAGTGCCTTGGTCCTTCTGTCCCTGAGGCTACTGTCCTGCCCTGAGGACACTTCAGTTAGAACTGCTTAGAACTTGGAACTGGGGGGGGGGGGTTAGAGGAGGTCAATTTCCTGTCAGGAAACCCCTCCCTCTCTGGGGCCAGGGGCGGGAAGGACTCTTTATCTGTCTGCCCTTTTAGGCCAAGCTGGGGTTGGGCTGGGAAGGACAAGGCCACAGCCCGGCCCCTACGCTCGCCCCCACCCGGAATCGGCCCCCCCTCCTGCCTGCTCTTCACGCCTTCCAAGGTGACAACACCATCCTGGGCACCCTGGGGAGACACCCAATGCTGGACACGGGCCCAGAGCTCTCCTTCGGGGTCCTCGCTCTGGAGTAGAGACAGGGAGGAAGGTTCTGCTGGCCCAGAAGCTGGGATTAGAGGCTGAAAGGGGGTGGCACTGGGCATGGCTTTGGAATTGTTCTCTCTGCCTAAAAGGCCCTGTCCCCAGGTCCCTGCATGGCTCCCTCCTTCGACATTATCCTGGCCTCAGCTCCAGCATCTGTTCCTCAAAGGAGACATTCCCTGAGCAATAGAAGCTCTTCTCCACAACCCCCCCCATCCCTTCTCTCTCCCAGGGACTGTCTCTGATTGGTCAATTCCTTTATATCACCTTCCTCAATTTGAATGATAAGCTTTCTGTCTCCCTTGTAGAGTTTTTTTTTTTTAGGATTTTATTATTTATTTGTTTGTTTGTTTGTTTGTTTATTTGTCAGAGAGAGAGGACACAAGCAGGGGGAGAGGCAAGCTCCTCGCTGAGCAGGGCTCGATGCCAGGGCCCTGAGATCATGACCTGAGCTGAAGGCAGACGCTTAACTGACTGAGCCACCCAGGTGTCCCTCCCTTGTAGAGTTTCTGACTCTCCCACTGGAATGTGAATTCGAAGCAGATTTTGCTTACCCTGTTCATCTTTATATCCCTAGATATGTGCCTGGCACATAGTAGGTGCTCACTAGAGATTTATTAACCAAGTGCACACATGGGGATAGATTAGAGCTAAGGATTGGAAGTTGGGGATGCGTATAGCAGGTGCAGTGGGGGCTAGGAATGGGTTGGGGATTGGGTGGGGTTAGATGCAGAATTAGGGTTACTTTTAAGGTTTTAGGTTTAGGGGGTCTTTCAGGAGCTCAGGCACAGCATCCCAGGTGTTAGGCCTGGGACAAGAGATCACGTGCCTAGACAAAGTTGGGGTTGGTGTGGGATTAGGGTCAGGGCTGGGTTCAGAGATCACTGCTTCTGTCCCCGGCCCCAGGAAGGGCTCTCTAG